GTTGTCATGTTGGAAGACCCCGCCACGACCCATCTTCAATGCTCTGATTGAGGGAAGGAGGTTGTTGCTCAAAATCTCACAATAAATGGCCCCATTCATCCTCTCCTTAATACAGTGCAGACGTCCTGTCCCCTTCGCAGAAAAGCACCCCCAAAGCATGATGTTACCACCCCCATGCTTCACAGTAGGGATGGTGTTGTTGGGATGCAACTCATCCTTCTTTTTCCTCCAAACACGATGAGTGAAGTTTAGACCAAAAAGTTCTACTTTGGTCTCATCTGACCACATGACTTTCTCCCATGCCTCCTCTGGATCATCCAGATGGTCTTTGGCAAATTTCAGATGGGCCTGGACATGTGATGACTTGAGCAGGGGAACCTTCCGTGCAATGCATGATTTGAAACCATGACAGCGTAGTGTTCTACCGACAGAACTGTGGTCCCAGCTCTCTTCATGTCATTGACCAGCTCCTCCCTTGTAGTTCTGGGCTGATTCCTCACCTTTCTTATAATCAGTGATACCTCACGAGGTGAGCTCTTGCATGGCGTCCCAGTCCGAGGGAGACTGACAGTCGTCTTTAGCCTCTTCCATTTTCTAACAATTGCTCCAACAGTTGATCTGTTTTCACCAAGCTGCTTGGCAATTGCCCTGTAGCCCTTTCCAGCCTTGTGGAGGTCCATAATTTTGTCTCTGGTGTCTTTTGACAGCTCTTTGGTCTTGCCCATGGTAGTAGTTGGCGTCTGACTGACTGTGGGGTGGACAGGTGTCTTTAAAGAGCTCAGACAGGTGCTACTAATTTAGATTAATGAGTGGAGTAGAGGTGGACTTTTTCAAGGCACAGTAACAGGTCTTTGAGAGCCAGAATTCTTGCTGTTTCTCAGGTGTTCAAATACTTATGTTCAGCAGTGCTAGACAAATAAATTATTTAAAAATCATACAATGTGATTTCCTGAAATTTTCTTTTTAATTCTGTCTGAGTGGGAATGCACCTACAATGTGAATTTCAGACCCCTCCATGATTTCTAAGTGGGAGAACTTGCAAAATCGCAGGGTGTTCAAATACTTCTGTTCCTCACTGTATCGTGAGATTTTTTTTCTCATAATTAATTACAGTTTTGGTTAAGTTCTTTTATAGAATCTTACTAATATAAGTGGAGACAGTTTATATTTTGGATGAGATGGCCCAGCTCCTATTATATGCTGCAAGGAACCCTACTTAATTTTCAGATTTTCAAAATCTGTCCACCAAATGAGTTGACCTTTTATCTTGAGGAAAGAATGAAACTTGGTCTTCTGAACACAGAACCAAGAAACATTTCCATCCACATGAGCAGGCACTTTTCAGTTTTTAAAAACGCTGTCACCGTCCACACATCCATGGTCTTCAAAAATTGAAGGTTCTGTACAGTATGTTGCCAAAATGCTCTGCTTTACAACCAGAGTACAAAAAACATGAGAACTGGGACAGACAGAACAGCTGACAACAAACAGATTAAAAAGCAGAAGTAAGTTCAAGATGCGTCCCGTCTTACCACGATTCACTCTGAGCTCCTGCTGTGGGCTGCTAATGGGAATGCCAGTGTCAGAAAAACCTGCAGTGCCACCTTGAGCCTAAGAGACAGCAAGATAAAAAGAAATGAAAGGCTTTGTTTCACTGTGAAGAAAGGTTCCTTCTTTGTAAATGATAGTTTATGTAACTGGTGAGTACGGTTGTACTCTACAACATGTACTGACCTGAGCCTGATTTAGACAGGCCTGGAGTTTCCTTTTTGCTCTCCATCTGGCCACCCTCAATCTGGTCTTCTCTCGACGCTCTCGCACCTTTAAAACATCATTTTATGTTAAATATCAGCCAATGTAAGAAGATACTTTTATATAAACTGTCTCTTTAAACTCTAAAACCCTTAAACATTTTTATGTGAATAGGTTACAGCTTATCCTCAGCACAAAAACAAACAAACATTTTTCTTTACTTCAAACTGTCACACACCATAGGGGAAATAATGTAGATGTTTCAACTAGGCCTTCTACAGTGTGCAGTTGGAGAAGGAACTCCCCCTTTTGGCTTTGGCCAAATGCAGTGTTCCTTTCTTCTATACAGATTCTTAAAATGTGGAATGCATATGTAAGAAAGAAGTGAATGCTATATGGTCAACTAACCAGATCTGCCAGCAGCGGCTGAGGTAATGTTTTCTCCAGCTCTCTGCGTCTGCTGAGGCTTCGACGGCGGAGCTCATTCCTGCGCAGTTTGTATTCTTCATAAAGGCTAAGGTCTTTAGCCCAGGGCCGCGCCGCCTGGTGAGGTGGGACACTGAGTGGCAAGGCTTCCATCGATGGCATAGAGGCCACCAGCTGAGGCACTGGACCTGAAAGCACATCCAGAAAGGGTTTCATTAGTTATATACAGTAATTACTGTTGGTTTTTGGCTATTTTAGCTGTTATCAATACTGATTTTAGGCCCGGGGGAATAAGAAGGCAGCTACATCTTTGGAATCAACACTGCAAGTAGAAGTTACTATGCTCAGATTCTAACACTATCCAGGCAAATAAGCTCAGACATTCAGATCTACTCACAGGTGCTTGGTCCAGCTGAGCTGAAGGTTGTCATGCGATTCACCTGGCTCACTGGGTGCCCAGACCAATCTGGCACTGATCTCTGCAGGAAAAGAGACAAGTATTCGTTCTCTTCCACACATGGTTCAACCGTGTGATATTTATGCTTTCTGAGAATTACCTTGTTTAGAGTTATTGTGATGAGGTATTTTAATTAAGTTAGTTTAGTTTTCCAGAATGCATTTCTATCCCACATCAGAACTCACTCTGTTCCCTGGCAGCATAGCCCAAATCTGTCAGTGATGTTTCCTTATCACTGGTGGATTTATATCTGTTTGAATGTTGGTGCAAAGCAATCCCTTTTTTTCCAGAGGGGACTGACATTATCAACTGCTGCTGAGCACCAATAAAACCCAACAAGCTGTATCTTTGTTTCTTCCCAAAAGAAACCTGAAAAAAAAAAACTCTCACCACACAAACTCAAAAAGTGACCCAGCATTCTTAGATGAGATATTCAGCTCCAGCTTTACCTCTGACTCTGGAAGATGAGTGTGCTGCACCTGGCAATCCAGCAACATCACCTCCTGCTCTTCTTCTGCCTCCTCCTTGATACAGATCACCTCCTCCTCCTCCTGCTCCTGCTGCTCGACCTCCTCCTTTACCTGCGTTACAATACAAGACAACCCAGACTTTAGGACTGTGATGTGTAATACTTGTAATACTTCCACTAGTGTACTTCTGTAGATGTTTCAGTTAGGCAGTAGTCCTCTAGTAGTCAGGGAGGATGTTCAGAGCCATGTAGCAAATAACTTTATGTATCATGATTTACCTTAGTACTTCACTGCCAACCCTGTTGCTTCACTATAGTGCATCCTGCTGAGCTTTGGTACAGCTAGATTCATCTTTAGCTGTGGACACACTGCCATCTTTACAGGAGAAGCTTTTCTGGCTTTTTTTCCCCATGCCATCTTAGGCATTACTGTTTCTTCTGATTTTAATTTTTATATATATATATCATCATTTCTGTAATGCACAGCAGTTCTAGAAAAGCAAAAAAAGAAACCGTGTCACATCAATACTTTAAAATCCCACTGTTTGGTTGTTCAGTCCAGTAAAATAACATTTGATAAAATCACTTCTGTGTATTTAAAACACAAGTTGTAGAAAATCTGAACAGTTTTCTTTCTCTAATCTAGTCCATTTAGTTCTTCTACTAATAAAGTAATATGAAGATAGCTGTTTGTCTGTGGCCTTGCTTTTAAATAGAAGTCAGAAGCCAAAAACATGGATCACTTCACTTCAGCCTGCTTCAGCAGGTGTGTGTATTGTCACCTGTACAGCAGAGGAGGGCAGCGTGGAGCTACCAGCTTGGGTAGAACCATCTGGGGACGGCAAGCCAGATGCTGACAGCCGCCCTGGATCCGAAGTCAGTTCCTGGACAGGAGGAGGGGCCAAGGCAGTGTCCAAGCCTTCTGCGTGTGGCGGCAAAGTGATGGTCCACTCGCAGTCGGCTTCCTGATCGCCAGCCTTGCTTTCAGCTATATCTTGCTCTGTGCAACATACCAGAACTGGACACACACAGGCATTTGTTCAGTCTACATTACTTATTCTTGACAACAATACATTTCTGTGTTTATTTTTACGTTTCTTATGCTCTACGTACACTAATAAGACTATAGCCCAACAAAGATTTTAAAAAATAAAATAATACCAGGTCAGGCAATCAGACTGTTTTTACATAAACACGTATAATAAACACTATTGATAAGCATTCCTTAAAAATGACTTTTTTGAGCTCTAAAGTACTTTGATCAGTATATGCACTAAATGGTACAGTTTTAAAGCTTATGGTAGCACTAGCATGAAAGCATCAAATCACCCCACTCTGCTCCGTCCAACACTCTCTCCCTGCTCCACTATGACCTGCTACGCTCGGACATGCTCTGCAGATATTTGCCTTTATGAAATTGCAATAAATGAGAATACAACAAAACTTATTGATCAAGCAGAAATAACTGAAATTCTCTGATTGGTTAGAGCCGTCAGTCCTGCTCAAAACCTTTTAGAAGCTAATATCTGGGTCACAGGAGGCTTTGGCAGCACCTCTCCACATTGAGACAAGTTTTAAAGCATATTTATACAACAACAAAATTTGAAAAACTTTACATATTATAACTTTAGGTTAAATACTATAAGGCTCATTGCTCTATGGTGAAAAAACTAGCCCAATGACAAGCCAGCTGGGTGACAAATTTACAAAAATAAAAAATAAAAAAATGAGTGGAAACTAAAAACTGCAAGGTCACCAATTAATTATCATCTTAATGATCTGATTGATCTTTTTATTCCCAGAATGTCAAACACTGGGAAAAAGTCCCATTAAAGAAGGTGGAAACCTCCATCAGTGGACTGAACGACTACAGACCTGTCGCCCTGACATCTGTAGTTATGAAGTGCTTTGAAAGACTGGTGTTGGCCCACCTGAAGGACACCATAGACCCCCTGCTAGACCCCCTGCAGTTCACCTACTGGGCAAACAGGTCAGTGGACGATGCAGTGAACATGGCACTGCATTACATCCTGCAACACCTTGACTCCCCAGGGACCTATGCACGGGCCCTCTTTGTGGACTTCAGCTCAGCATTCAACACCACCATCCCAGACATCCTCCACTCCAAACTGACCCAGCTCACTGTTCCTGCCCCCACCTGTCAGTGGATTACTAGCTTTCTGACAGACAGAAAGCAGCAGGTGAGGCTGGGGAAAACCACATCCTGCACCCAGACAATAAGCACAGGCGGCCCCCTCACTTTACTTGGCAGCACTGTATCAGCAAAGTCCTACAAGTTCCTGGGCTCTACTGTCTCCCAGGACCTGAAGTGGACGTCCAACATCAGGACCATCACCAAGAAGGCACAGCAGAGGATGTACCTCCTGAGGAATCATCGAGTCTGTTCTCTGCACCTCCATCACTGTCTGGTTTGGCTCAGCAACCAAACAGGACAAGTACAGACTTCAGCGAACAGTCAGGACTGTAGAAAAGGTCATTGGTGTGAGCCTGCCCTCCATGGAGGACCTGTACACCTCATGGGTCAAAAGGAGGGTGGAGAGGATCACTGCTGACCCCTCACACCCTGGACACAATCTGTTTGAACTCCTCCCCTCTGGACGGTGTTACAGGTCACTGTGCACTAAGACAACCAGGCACAAGGACAGTTTCTTCCCCCAGCCCATCACTCTGATGAACACTTGACGCACAACAGTATGATTGGACAATAACCCTCAGTGCAATACCTGTATATATACCTCGTACAGATTATACAGATCCGTACAGGTCTCTAGTTTTAAGTACTCTATTTGTATTCCTATTTATCTCATTTCATTGAGCATTCCTTTGTCTGTCTGCATTGTTTACTGCCTGTTTATACTGTATGTTTTGTATTGTTTGCACTGTTTATTGCTTGTTTATACTGTTTATTTTGTTATACTACACAACTACTACACGTTGGTTTACCATTTACTTGCCCCTTGCATGGGGATATGTACATGCACATTGAGAGCCAATGTACCAGAGTCAAATTCCTCATGTCCAACACACCTGGCCAATAAAGCTGATTCTGGAACCTGAACATGTTGGTGACTGATGCTTCTAAAGAGCTGCTGGTTAATTTTCTACCAGTGAACTGACTCATGGCTGCAGCTCTAGGACAGTGAATGGCTTCATGAGGATGACACAGTGTGTTGGACACAGTGACCTGTGTGAGGCTGTTGTTTACTGACTTTTCTTCAGTTTTTAACAATATGCAGCAACATCTTTCAACTGAAAGACTGGTATCAGATTTTAACTTGTCTCACCAACTGGTACTACGAATGTTAACTTTCTTGACTGACAGACACCAGGTTTTAGTTAATGGCTGTTTTTCTAACGCTGTATCCACACACACTGGCTGACTTCAAGGTGCGTCTTATCACAACTGCTTTTAATCATGTATACTGTCTTGTCACATTCTTGGATGATACTGCTTTCCTGTCTCCTCTTCGGGGTACTGGACAGGACCATGGATGTCCTCTCACAACTTTTGTGGAGTGGTGCAGTAATAATTTCTTGGAGTTGGAAATGGTTAAAACCAAGCCCAAAGAAAGTTATTTTAGACTTAATAAAACTCCCACCACATCTAGTTCTATACAAAATGAGAGCATGGAAATTGTCAGCTCTTACAAGTATCTGGGTAAATGTTTTGAAAACCAGCTTAAATGGGATGTAAACACTAAAAGGACTGTGGCGTCTTGTTGGTTGTGCTTGAATGTATTTGAATGAATTGTGCATTAGCTCAACCATCATTTGAACATAGTTTTTGAGAAAGTGTCAGCCCTAGTCAACACACTCACTGTCATCCAGCTTCAGCCATCACCACTCAGCTCTGTACCTGAACTGCTATCCACAGATTCTACACCTGTGTTCACAGACATGGAGGGAGGCAGCAGCAGGCCACACGAGTCAGCGCTGGCAACTCCCACATCTGAATGACAGTGCAATCCGATTGCACACCTGCTTGTGTTCTGTGAAGAGGTGGATTCTGGGAGAAAAATCACAGGAAAGAGTATGACTCATTGGATTGCATGAACAAGCAGGAGTTGGTCATTTCAGTGGTAGTTACCTTGACTGTGTCTTGTCAGTGTTCCCTCAGTGGTCCTGGTCTGAGCTGAACATGGTGGGGAGGTGTCAGTGGAGGAAGTGCTTGCACCACCTCTGTGTGTTTGGGGAAAGGTGGACGGGTGGATGCGGACCAGAGTGCTAGCAGAGGCTCTCTGCTGCAGCTCCTCCTCCACTCCCTGTCTGTAGTACTTAAGTTTCAGTTCGGTGTAACGCAGCTTGGCTCGAATATTGTCATTCTCCTTCTCTTTTAGGGCTTTCTCTCTTTGCAATGCCGCAATGTCCCTCTTCATCAGCACCACTTGAGCTTTTAGCTCCTCAAATTTAACTCCAACCACTTTGAGCATCTCAGCCAGCACTGTCTCTACAGCTCCGTTCACTGCCCGCTCAACCACGGTGCCCATCTGGCCTCGAATCAGTGATACTGCTATGCTGACATCCATTGGTAATGCCGACAGCCCAAAACACCTGGAGAAGGCCCTTCAAAGTTTACCTAAACACACATTTACATGACCTTTTACAAGTGCAGTTTAGTAATTCATTTGAGACTAGCAACAGAGAAATGTGACTACATAAATCACATCGAACAAATAAGACACCCTAAGGTTTTGTTTAAGTTCCATTATTTCACATGGTAATGCAATTTGAGCAGTGTTTGGTGCATTAAAGAAGGCTCCAGTATTTAAGATTTGTGGGTCGGGTGCCAAAAAGCAATATATTGATTAGCCATGTTATTGGAAAATTAAACCCAGAAAACAAACAACAAACTAATGACTTGAAAATATATGCTGTGAAATGGGTCAATGTTTAGCATTAAACAAGTAACAGAGCTTGGTTAAGAATCACAATTAAAACAAAAATGCCAACTTTGTCAAAGGTCTCAGGACTAAAACACACTTTTATAAACGTATGACCCCATACTGATCGTGAAAATATATGGCTCCTTCAAAGGATTCATCATTTGTCTCAAACATTTCACTGACATATTTCCAATAATCATCATTTTCACTGTGAGGAAAACGGTGTGGACAATCCTTAAAATAAACAAAGAAGGTGATAAAACCTGCCAGAGCTAATAAAAATACATTTTATATTAATGAATGGTAAATGAAACGAACACAGTATATGTTCCTTTCATTTCTTAGGGTACTACAACAGCATGACTGACCTTCCTTTGTTAAGTGTTTGGTATTTGGATCAGTTCTGAAAATGTTACTAGTGCGCATCAATGTTTTGCTTTCTTTTCCACCGAGTGCAGGATGTCAGTTACTGCATTTAACTAGAACAAACTGTTAATACGTACAATGCAGGTATCCACCTGACCTGTGTGCCATATCAGAAACCGGAGCCGTACAACTCGTAAAATTGCTTACACAAAAGTGACATAGGTTTTAGGTCTAATTCAATTAAACTATGAACTTCCATCTTCCAGTTCAGATATTTTAGCTCAATTCGCACGCTTTAGGGCAAAAATAAGCAGGTGTTTTCACGCTAACATTATGAGCTAACGATAGCTGACGTTAACGTAGCACCTTTCTGTGTCCACGGTCTCTTTAAAGGACCTTTCTGCATGGTCTCTATTTAAATTAAAAGTAGGATAAAAGACCAAACACCTCACTTACCGCTTATACTCCTTAATGATAAAAGCTTAGCCAGTTAACGTTAAGATGACCGTTAGCTCCGTTAGCTGCACTAATATTCTAACATTAATTCAGGGAGAAAAATCGTAGTTATGCAAACTATTGGGCATTATTTCTCCATTAAACAGACTGCCATTAATAGGCACATGACTTTGTTCACATAATCAGTTTCCTTTGATATAAATTTAAGATAGCAAGTGAATTGTGTCGGACCTCAAAATAAATGCTAATGCTAATGCTACTTCTTCTTCTACTACTCCTTCCTCGAGTTTACCCTATGGTTGGCGGAAAAAAAGTTGTGCATTACCACCAACAACTGGATAGGAGGAGTCAGGAATCTCACCTGTCTTCGCTTAAATCTAATAATTAATCAGTTAACGCAAATATATGTATTTTCACTCATATTTAATAGAATTACTTAAATTCTTCCTATCACGTTTCTTTTTTATTAAATACTAAAACTAAAACAGAAAACATATGTCTCCAGGGCTGCTTTATAAAATATCACCCAGATCAAATGACATCTACATTTCTGAATTATTTCCTTTATCTCAGCTTCATATTTTGTGCAGTATAACATAACATTCTCTAATCTTTTCAGTAACATGTTTAACTATTTTAAATAATGTATTATTTAGTCCTGTATGCCCAAACCGTAATCTGGATATTATTGTCCCTTCTCTCCTACGTCTACTACTTCTTCTCCTTCTTCTACCATTTCTGTTCCTACTGTGCATCTTGCTGTACCTACCTTTTTTGGATCTTATATAACCATCTTCCTGTTCTCTCATCTTCCCATTGTTTCTGACATCAGTTTTCAGTTTACCTTTTATAATTATCCTTACTTCTGGTTTACTATTATTCACCTTAATACCAATATCTTTTTTGTAGCTCCTCTTGCCCATTTGTCAGCTACTTAATTTCCTATGACACCTATATGAGCTGAAATCCTCACAAATGTTATAATTGGACCCATCATTTGAATTCTACGTAAAGTACAACACATCTCAGCTAAAACATCAGGTCATCTTTCAGGCTGGTTAATCAGAACAATCAAAACAGATCACTGCTCCCAGAGCTCTTACATCTTCAACCCCCTGCCAGTATCTCCCCAGTATAAACTGTAAACCATCGCTAATTCTTATTCCAACTCTGATTCTGAATTCTGGCATACTGAATGCAATTCCCACTTTATTGTCTGAATTTTTTGATGCATCTGTATATATCTGAATACAGCTAAGGTACTGCCTTCTAAGTAATCCTTACAATTTGAGGGGTCAATTAGAATTGTAATTACAATTAGAATCAATTTATTTTTTTCTTATAATAAAGTTAGACCTACTATTACTTTGGGTAATATCCATGGTTGTATCGCTGTCTGTTAATCCTGTCTGTTTGGTAAAAATAAAGAAAGCTCTACTGGATGTTGCAGTCCAGCAATGCTTTTATATTGAGATCCTATTGTCTAGATCATAAGTACTTGGGCAGCTTTGGTCATGTAGTACTGGGGGACTTCTTCCAGGATGACAGTGCCCACTATGCAGAGGACACAAGAGGTCACTAAAGGGTTTGATGAGTATGAAAATGATGTGAATCATATGCTGTGGCCTTCCTAGTCACCAGGTCTCAGCCCAGTTGAACAGCTATGGGAAATGTTGGAGTGATGTGTTAGACAAGGTCTCTACCACTGTCATCAAAACATCACATGAGGGAATATCTGTTGGAACAACGGTGTTCATTGCTCCAGGAGAGTTCAGAGACTTGGAGAGTCAAAGTGCACTGGAGCTGTTCTGGTGCCACGTGGTGACGCAGAACCTCATTGTCCACACTTTATGTTGGGCTTTCCTTTCATTTGTCACGTCTGTAAAAAGAACTGTGGGAGATTTAGTGTAGCACTTCCCAAAATGCACTTGTAATTGTTTGGAATAGTTGAAAAATAATTGGACACTTGACTTTTAAATGACTCTTGTGCTGTTGTGTGCTTCAAAACTAGTTGCACATGATTTCTAATCGTGTGCCATCATTAAAGTTATTATTTACACTTCTGCTTTTCCTGCTTTGACAAGTCAAAATGTCTCACTGGTTGTAGTTGCAGACAAACAAAGGAAGAAGTTCAGTAGCAGTTTATCTGGCAAATCTATGAGTATGCATAATGTTTACAAGCATCACTTACTCTCCAAATCCATTCACTGTTGGTACTCCATTTCTCACAGCTATTTTGTAATCGTTTGAAATTTGAGCTCTTAGATTAGATTTCCCTTGATTAGTTTGTTGATCATGTTTAGCAGTCTAATAATATCAGAGTCATACTAAACATACTGTGATTTCACTGGCAATGAAAGACCAGAGATAATATGGCTTGAACACAGTCCATGTCAAACAAATGTCCAAAATTTTAAAATAATTGTCAGAAGTAGCATCACAAACTGTGTGGCCTTCTTCTGGCATGTGTGCTTTTGCAAATTGTCTGACGTTGTTGTTTAATCTGTTACTATAGGTGTATGTTTGGGTCACCACTGTAGGGCAGTTTGTTTAATTGCTCTCATGGGATAATGAAGACAATGTTGATCTTCTACTGAAACAACTACACATCTAAGTTGTCATTACATATGGGCTTTGTGGCCAGCACACATTAGTCACTGAGTCATACAGCAATGAGCCCTGGTCCCAGAGGCCTGTGCAACCACATCAGGGAAGGCACAGTAGAAGACCTAATGGCACTCATTAGAGTTCAGTTACATCACCTCTGGGCTGGTGTGTGTGGCCCTGTGCTATTGAAACTACTGTATCCAAAATAAGTCTGAAGGTGTTAATTGCATCACATGTCTGGAATATTCCCTTCAAATCATCCCTCAGATATGCACACACATGAACACACAGATCAAAATAATGAATCACAACAGTTAGAGTTTGCTGTCACTTTATATGAGCTCCTTTTAAAATGCAAAGAGTTCTCACACAGGGTGACACATGCTGGCAGTGTGTGGAGCATGTTAACATGTCACAGTACACCACTGTCTGTCTTTTCTGTCGTTGATGTGTGTTAGCTCTGCAGAAAAGCAGCAATTTCATTTTACATCAATGCCCAGACTGGTCGTCTAGGCAACTGCACTCTACTTCTTCAATGTGCACGGTGCATCAGGTGTGTGAACGGCAGCTGACCAGATAGTACATGGTGCTCCTGGATTACACTTCATACTGATCACTTATTACTACTGTTGACATTGCAGCTCGGTTTAAAGTCTGTAGGAAAACACAGATACTGATGCTGCCTTTTCAGAATCACCAATGTTAGGCCCAGTGATGTTCCAGACTAAGCTGAACTTGCTTCATGGTAGAGGGCCCAGGTCTTTGTTTGATGACTTGTATTGGTGTTGCTTTTATGACAAAATAGTTATGAACATAATACAAAGGTATTACTGTCCATTGGAAGACACTGTCTTTTTAAATGCCAGAGAGACTTTTCAACTTATTATAAATCCCAGTGCGATTCTTTTTAAAAGGTTGTTGCAATAAAAACATTGCATCTTTATGACACAGCAGTTTGCTAATACAAGCAATATTGAATTATATAATGTTATATAATAAAATTCGCTTTATTTAAGATACTGTATTATTTCAGTGGACTAGTTATTTTTCTGCTATTTTGCAATTTGCTATATTTACAGTATTTGTGCAAAATTTCAGGTTATCTGTGTTTTTATTTAAGGTTTGTAATTGTTAGTTTTTCCTTTTGTATTCTTTAGTTTTTATAAAATGACTTCATTTATGAATATTATGCTAGAAGCTAACCACCTGAATGTTGTTTAAATGCTTTACATTCCAGTTGACATGTCAATACAAAGAACACAAGAACAACATGATTTTAAACTTTATATGTACCATTTTCATTAGAAACCCAAGAATGATTTAATTTCCGACAATGAGCTACAAATTAATTTCACAAATTATAATCTTATAGTCAGGGGGTCATGGTCTCAGCTTTAGGTGGATTTTGACCCAGTATCTGTAACAAAGCAAAGTAGGAGTAGATCCATGGTCTGGAGATACTTTGGGTTTTATCCAGACCTCCAGCCTGCAACAGGAGACCTCTCTTAAAGGCCAAATGCTGCTGCAATAGCGCCATCTCTCTGCAGGGAGGACAAAGCAAGAGAGAGAGAGATCAGCAGCATAATGTACCATGGATAATAATTTATTTCTCATTTATTTTAAACTTTTTGAAACTATTGAATTTCTCTCATCCAGAAATGTAAATGTCAAAACAAGTGTGATGTAAAGTAAATGTGCTGCCATACAACACAAGGTATAACCTTTTGGCAACATCTGAATGTATATGTATTTATTTTAGCCCCAGTTTAAGAGGACAGACACACACATACGTGTCGAGCAGCTCTGCCTGCAGCCTGTCCTCCTCCTCCTCTTCTCTCCTCCGGTCCTCCTCCTCCTGCTCCTTCCTGTGGAGGTACTCTGTCCTCTCACTCTCAGTCATCTCGTGTAGTTTCTTGATCTCCTCCTCATGCCTCTTCTCCTCCTCCAGCTGCAAATGCTCCAGTTCAGCTGTAGCAAACAAAACACAGCTTCCAGGAAACTGAATTATTACCAAAATATTGGATAATCTTTTTATTTTTTCCAACTCATTTGATGCAATAAAATACAGCTGTGTTTTCAAAAAGTATCAAAAGTGGGAAATGACACAATGTAAGAAGTCAAAATGCATTGTGAAATTAAAATTCTGCATGTGGAATACTTTTTTAAAGCAATTGCAAAATGTGGAGGCAATATCAAAGTACCAAACAAAATCAAATTCATGAGGCAGCAGCTGATAGGGATTTGTGCAGACAACATACATGTATAACATGTACTTTTGAATCAGATGAGCTTTTAACAAAACTGAAGACACTAAACAGTGAGATAACCTTATGATATCAACATGTAATTTCTCCTGAATGCTGGATCATTTTTATCCAGGGCAGATCAAAACACCTCATGTTCCTCTTTTGTTTGTCTGTCCTCTCCAAGTTCTTTTATCCTTCCATTGCTTTCGCCTTCACTTCCTGTGTCCTCTCACCTTTCCTCCTCTGTTCCTCCTCCTCTCTTATCCTGTGGAGTCGCTCCATCTGCCTCCTCTTCTCCTCCTGCCTCCTCCTCTCCCTTTCTCTTTGTGCCTGTTCCTGTCTTGCTCGCTCCTGCTCCTCTACCTCACGCCTTCGCCTCTTCTCGTCCTCTGCCAGCTTCTTCAGTCTGGAGGTGGAGAGTCAATATTAATATGGTGGCAGATAAAAAAGTTCCCCAAAAAATTTTGGAGGTCACACAACAGCAGTTACCATATCATGACCTGCAGAGGTAACAGTCAAAAAAAACATGCCTCAAAACACCAAACATTTTTTTACATTTAAATCAAATGTAAAAGTGAAAACAATGTGACGATGTGAATGGTATCACTCATATTAATTTACAGTGCGAGATCAGTGATTAGTTGTCAGGCCGGCACTTCACTCTTCTGGCTAACTTTCAGTGCAGCATTTAGCTGCAAACCCAGACATTGTGCTCAGGTGCTGGCAGAGACCCAGAACATTTACTAGGTAGACAAACTTTAACACCACATAAATAATGATGTCCTCAGTAACTCCTGAATGTGTAAACAAGCACCTGTTTGCTAACAACTTTGTTGCAGTATATTAACTTAAACTTGAGTTAAACAAAAATGTAGATGGAATCACATCTATACGATTAAAAATCAAGAGTCATCTTGATTACTGTCCGTCCATCCATCCGTTATTTATACCACTTATTCGTGAATAGGGTCACAAGGTGGGGGCTGGAGCCAATCCCAGCTGACATTGGATGAGAGGCAGGGTTCACCCTGGACAGGTCACAAGTCTATCACAGGGCTGACATGTAGACAAACAGCCACACAGACTCACACTCACTCCTACAGGCAGTTTAGAGTCACCAGTCAAGCTAAGCTGCATGTCTTTGGACTGTGGGAGGAAGATGGAGAGAACCCACGCAGGCACAGGGAGAACATGCAGACTCCTCTTGATTACTGTGTAAACTCAAATTTGCTCATGTTTCCTTTATTTACAAGTTAAACATAATTTGATGAATGTTGTTTTAAAAGAAAAAAGAACCTGAGCTCCTCAGCTCTCTTCCTCCTCTCCTCCTCCAGCTCGTTCTTTATCCTCTCCTCTGTCTGTTTCTTCTCCTGCCACTTCCGCTCTTCTTCCTCTTGCTCTCTCTTCTTCCTCTCCACTTCCTGCCTCCGTCTTTCTGCTTGCTGAGCCAGACGCCGAGCTGCAGCCTCCTCTCCCTCCTTATTCCTTCTGGGCCTGGAGGACTAAAACACACACACAGACACAGACGCAGAGATCAACCTTGCACAGTGTTGTGTTAAACTAGAAGGGTTAAAAATACGGAAATCAAACACAAAGTATTCCATGTTTGTGCTTCCTACTGACCTCTGGCTTCACTGGGTTCAACATCAGCTGTTTCTCCGTTGCCATGACAGTTGAACAGGATGACAGGCGGTCACGTGATGAAGCCGCATCCATGGCACTAGTTACCATTGGCCCCTCACAGGAAGAGGCAGCAGACCTCCATGAGCTCCTCTGATCAAACCAGGATGTGGACCCAAGTGAAATCATTGATCGGATGCCGCTGTGTGTGTCACTGGTGGAAAGTATGTCTGTGTCCTCCTCTGTTTCTAGTCTGTTGTTGTGTTTTTGTGATGCAGACGACATGCTGGTGGATTTTAGGTGAAACTCTTCTTTTATTTCCTCGTTAGTCTCCACCTCTTCTTTCTCCATGTGGTCCTCAGGATTTCCTAACAGGAAAGTAAAGGAAAATGAAAGAAAGAAAAAGGTAGGAAAAGATTGCAAAAGACAGGACACATGAAATGGCTGCCTTAGTACTTCTACAAAGATGTCTACAGTTATTTTAGATGTCATCTTTTCATCTGCAGCTCCAAATTAGCACTAACTGGGAGTAAAATTTTAGTTAAGGCTCTTCCTTGTTCCTGTCTAATACAGTTTCAAAGTGCTTTAACACTATTTACCCATCCACACTCCCAAACACATGTACATTAACACACCAGTGACATCACCGGTAGCTACTAGGGGTGCAGTGTCTTGCTCAAGGACACTGACATGTGGACTAGAGAAGCCAGGAGTCGAACTGCCAACCTTCCAGCTGGGCTAGGAGACGACCCGCTCTGCCTTCTAAACTACAGCCGCTTCATAATGAATAACATTTTGCCCATCAAGCTGTCAGAAACGCTCGACACACAGATGAGCGAGCAGAGAAAACAACAGACCCAGGCAGCTGGCTTCGGTGCAAGCAGTGGGATTTATTTACAGTGCCAACAATGCGAAAATATATACAAGAATTGAGGAGTAGAGAAAAGATCGGGTGTCGATCAGCGGTGGCAGGAATTTCAGTCAATGGAGTGATGATGGGCTGGGCTGCGGGTGTTGGATTCACTCCTGGGCTGGTCGGGTTGTAGCTGATGATGACTGAGGAGGGAATAGCAGAGAGACATATTACTGGAGAATAGCAGGGAGACATAATACGGGAGACTGTGCATCGACCTGTGAGGCGGTGGCTGGTGGAGCTGAGGGAAACCAGGGTCCAGAGAAGAGGTCTGATGCGGAGGGAAACCAGATACGGCGGGGCAGGACAGGAACTCGGGTAAGCGCAGAAGAAGACAGAGAAAGAACGTACTTGGCACAAAGGCAAACAAAAACGTTAACATACATGGGGGCCTGAAGACAGAGAAAGAACTAGCAGGGGAGTGATTGGTGAACAGCGTATAAATAAGGAGGGAGACTAACGACGTACAGCTGGTGAGAATCAGTGAATCGAGGCAGGTGTGTCTAATCGTGCAATCAGTGCAAGGGAGCTGGCTAGTGCAAGGAAAGGCAGCGGGCAAACCCGACACTGCCCCCCCCCCCCCAAGGATGGATCCCAGACAGTCAAACCACCATCCCAGGGAGGGAGGCACGGGCCACCGGGGCCCCCCAGGTTTGTCCTGGTGTGCTCGATAGAAGGAGGTGAGAGGGGCAGGATCAAGAATAAAGGAGCGGAGAATCTAGGACCGCTCCTCTGGGCCGTAGCCCTCCCAGTCCACCAGATATTGGAACCCTCGGCCCCTAGGATGGACATCCAGGATCTGCCTGACGGTGTAAGCGGGGCCACCGTCCACCTCAAAGGGCAGGAGGAGGCGGAGCCGGCGGCGGACAGAGGGGACTTGTGGAGACGGGTTTGACCTGTTGAGGGGGCCACACTTGTTGCCCAACCTGGTAGGTGGGAGCGGCCCGACAGCGGCGATCAGCCAGTCTCTTATTCTGGTCTGCCGTGCGTAATAAGGCGGCCCTGGTCTCATCCCAGACGGCTTGACAGCGAGTGATGTGGGCTTGGACAGAGGGAACAGCAATATCAGTTTCGGCAGACGACAGCAGGGGAGGTTGGTAACCAAGGGATACCTGAAAGGGAGATATTCCTGTGGCGGAGCTGGAGAGGGTGTTATGGGCATATTCCACCCAGGGCAACAACTGGCTCCAGTCTTCTGGTGAGGAACTGGTGACACAACGGAGTGCATTTTCCAGCTCCTGGTTTAGCCGTTCAGCTTGGCCATTGGTTTGGGGGTGATAGCTGGAAGATAGACAGGGACATGCTTCGAGGGCAGTGCAAAAAGCAGACCAAACATGGGAGGTGAATTGTGGACCGCGGCCAGAAACGATAGTGATGGGGGTGCCGTGAATACGGAAAACGTGCTGAACCAGGGACTGGGCGATGTCGAAGGCATTGGGGAGTTGTGGAAGGGCGAGGAAATGGGCGGCTTTGGAAAATTGATCGACGATGGTGAGTATGACAGTGTTGCCCTGGGAGGGAGGAAGGCCAGTGACAAAGTCTAGGGCAATATGAGACCAGGGCCGGCTAGGTGTGGTCAGTGGCCGAAGAAGACCCGCAGGAGACTGGTGGAGGGGTTTGGATTGCGCACAGGGAGCACAGGCAGCTACGTACTCCCTGGCGTCTTT